TGACTTTAAGAGTAAAATGGAAAATAAGTGCATTGTAAGGTGAAATCCATTTGATACAATTTTTTAAAGTAAGATGTTCCCATTTAATAAATGATAAGTAATTCATTTTGGCTCTGACAAAGCTTTTGCCTAAGAAGTTGTTCATTAGCATTTTTCTCTTTTGTTCATCCTCACTGGAGGATATTTTCTCCATTGACTTTTATTTATTTTTTTATCCTCACCCGAGGACATTTTTCCATTTTTTGTTCAGATAGAGCGGGAGGGAGAGAGAGGAAGAGAGAGAGAGAAACATCGATGTGAAGGGACACATCGAGTGGCTGCCACCCACACAACCAACCAGGGCCGGGTACAAACTGCAACCGAGGTACATGCCCTTAGCAGGAATCGAACCCGGGTCTCTCTGTACCGCAGGCCGACGCTCCATCCGCTGAGCCAAACTAGCCAGGGCTCTCCATTGACTTTTAGAGAGAGTGCAAGAGAGGAAGAGAGAGAAACATCCATGTGAGAGAGACACATTTATTAGTTGCCTCCTATTCATGCCCCAACCAAGGCCAGGGAGCAAATCTGAAACCCAGGTATATGCCGTTGACTGGGAATTGAACCCATGACTTTTCAGTGCACAGGCTGACACTCTAACCACTGAGCACACGAGCCAGGGCTCATTAGCATTAAACATATTTTATTGATTGATTTTAGAGAGTAATGGAGAGAGACATCGATTGTTTTTTTCACTTATTTATATGTTCATTGGTTGCTTCTCTAAAAAAAAAATTAAACCATATTTAAAAATTTTTTTTTCTTTATTGATTTTAGAAAGAGAGGAAATGAGAGGGAGAGAGGGATAGAAACATCAATGAGAGAGAACATCGTTTGGCCGCCCCCAGCATGCCCCCCACTGGGGATTTGGCCTACAACCTGAGCATGTGCCCTGACTGGGAATTGAACCAGCGACCTCTTGGTGCATGGGTCAGTTCTCAGTCACTGAGCCACACCAGCTAGACTCATTGGTAGCTTCTTGTATGTGCTCTAATCAGGGATCGAACCTAAAACTTTGGCATATGGGGACAATGCTTTAACCAACTGAGCATTCAGCCAGGTCCTATTCATTAGCGTTAAATACACTGCATGTCATCATTAGATACATTGTATGTCAGCATTAAATACATTGCATGTCAGCATAGATACATTGTATATCAGCATTAAATACATTGCATGTAGCATTAAATACAGTACATGTCAGCCCTGGCACAGTAGCTCACCTTGACCACTTTCCTCACTTCTAAGCTCCTTTTTCTTTGCCTCTATAACTTGTTTCCTAGGCCCATTTCTTCTGCATATTATTTCTATACTTCTGTGATTGTATAAATAAGTGTTCTCCTTTTTTTTTTTAAATCCTCACCTGAGGACAGTTTTGCTGTTATCTTCAGATAGTGTGGGAGGAGAGAGGGGAGAAGAGAGAGAGAAATATCGATGTGAGAGAGACACATCAAGTGGTTGCCACCTATACAAGTCCGAAATGGACCGGGGACAAACGGCAACTGAAGTACGTGGCCTTAGCGGGAACTGAACCCGGGACTCTCTGGTCTGCAGGTCGTCGCTCTAACCGTTGAGCCAAGCTGGCCAAGGCAATAAATGTTCTCTCTCTTTTTTTTTTTTTAGGTGAAAAAGTTTTTATTTTTACTCTAAATAATACAAGGCTTGATTCAGTGTCCCTGGTTATATGGTCCTCTCCAGCTGCTTTTCTGTTGCTTTTTCCTGACGATTGTCTTTATTTTAGTTGTAATTCCAGTTTGGTCCTGGGAGATCAGCTGTGTAGCTTCCATTCACTCCGCCACCATTTTTGAATCTTTCTAAATGTTCTCTTATAGTTTGAGTCTTGGCTCTGAAGTCTTTCCTAGCCAAAGCCCAAGTACCAAGGTTACTGAACCTAGGTCCGATTTGGCCTCACTGGTTTAACACCTGGTGCTGTTTGCTGCTGCCGCCAACAAGTGTGAATTTCAGAGGGCACACATTGCATTGTGAAAAGTGATACCTTTTTCAGTTTCCATTAATCTTTTTTTTTTTTAAGTCCTCACCCGAGGACATTTTTGCATGTATCTTCAGATAAAGTGGGAGGAAGAGAGGGAGGAAGAGAGAGAGAGACACATCGACTGGTTGCCACCCACACAACCCCAACCGGGCCAGGGACAAACTGCAACCAAGGTACATGCCCTTAGTGGGAACCAAACCTGGGTTTCTCTGTTCCGGGGGCCGACGCTCTAACTGCTGAGCCAAAGTGGCCAGGGCTCCTGTCACTCCTTTCTGGCCTGCAAAGTTTCTTTTAAGAAATCAGCTGACAATCTTATGGGAGCTCCTTTGTACGTAACAAACTGCTTTTTTCTTGCTGCTTTTAAGATTCTCTCTTTGTATTTAACCTTTGGCATTTTGATGATGTGTCTTGGTGTGGTCCTCTTTGGGTTCATCTTGTTTGGGGCTCTCTGTGCTTCCTGGACTTGTATGTCTGTTTCCTTCTCCAAGTTAAGGAAGTTTTCTGTCATTATTGTTTCAAAGAGGTTTTCAATTTCTTGTTCTCTCTCTTGTCCTGGCACCCCTATGATGCAAATGTTGGCACACTTGAAGTTGTTCCAGAGGCTCCTTACACTGTCCTCATTTCTTTTTTCTTGTCTGATTGGGTGTTTTTGCTTCCTCATATTCCAAATCAATAGTTTGCTTCTTGGCTTTACCTACTCTACTATTGATTCCCTGTAAATTATTCTTTATTTCAGTTAGTGCATCCTTCATTTCTGACTGGTCCTTTTTTATGTTGTTGATGTTCTCACTAAGTTCCTTGGAGGTCTTCTGAAGGTCCTTGAAGGTCTCACTAAGTTCCTTGAATGTCTCACCAAGTTCCTTGAGCAACCTTATAATCTGTGTTTGAACTCTGCATCTGATTGATTGCTTATGTCCATTTTGTTTAATTCTTTTTCTGCAGTTCTTTTCTTTCATTTGGGACATGTTTCTTTGTATCCTTATTTTGGTTGCTTCCCTGTGATTGTTTCTATGTATTAGGTAGAGTTGCTATGTCTCCTAGGCTTTATAGGGTGGCCTATAGCAGTAGGTGCCCTGTAGGGTCCAGTGGCACAACCTTCCTTATCACCCCAGCTGGGCCCTTGAGGTGCACCCCTACTGTGGACTGTACACTCTCCTGTTGTAATTGAGTCTTGATTGTTGTTGGCATGTCAATGGGGGGGGGGGGGGGATTTATCCAGGCTGATCCTCTGCAAAGACTGGCTGTGCCCACTGGCCACTGGCCTCTGACTACCTTGGAGGATCAGCTGTGTATGGGCCCACCACACAGAGCAAGATTTACTTCATCAGGGCTCTGGTACCACTGAGTCCACTCATTGAGTGTGTCACTTGTGGAGGTGGTTGGGTGCTTCAGTGTGGTCTGAAGCTGTCCACTGGGTGTGCTGGCTCTGGGGCAAGGTCAGCCACTGCCTGTGTTCTATCCGGGGCCACCCAGCATCAGCTACAAAGTGATCTGCTGATGGCTGCTTCTTGTGCTGGGCTTGGAGGTGCCCAGGAAAAGCCAAGTTGTGAACCAAGACTGGCTGCTTCTAGTGCCAGACCTGAGGCCACTTAACAATATGTATTGGGCTCACCGATACCAGAAGCTGCTTGTTTGAGAGATTTGAGGAAACTGGATCAGGATCCAAGACAGGTCAATCCTATGGTAAAGCCCTTGGAAACAGCTTGGGTGGGCCCGAAAGTTGGGTAGGGCAGGGCCTCGGAATCACTAGGGTGGGGCAAACAGTGTGAGCCAGGTTGCTGGAGTCCCATATATGGCGCCTGTCTGCTGCCCCAGGGAAGGGCTCACCAAAGGAATATCAGCCTCTGCCAGCACATCTGTCCAGGAGAAAGCCGCCTCTCCAGCCCTCCTCCCGATGCCAAACAGTTCAGTTCTTCCCTGTCTCTGCCACTCCTCAAGCTGCCTCCCCTCCAAGCTTAGAAAAAGCAGGTTCAAGTAAGTCCGTTTAAGAGGAGCTGCCTGGGGCTCCAGAAGCCCCAGCCTCCCTCAGCCTCAGTTCCCGCTGGTTTCTACAGCCAGAAGTTATGGGACTTCTCTTTCTGGCCCTGGAACCCTGAGCTGGACACCTGCTGTGGGACGGGGACCCCTCACTCCTCAGGGAGGACCTTCCCAGCCGAGGTATCCTCCTGATTTTCATCTGCCACAGGTGGGTGTGTGACCAGCAGGTCCTTGCCTCTACCCCTCCTACCAGTCTCCATGTGGATGCTTCTTTAATGTAGTTGTAGGACTTCCATTCAGCTCAATTTCAGGCGGTTCTGAATGATCTGTTTTGTTTTCTTTGAACTTAGTTCCACTGTACTCTTCTATGGCAAGGGATAGTGAATTTCTATTGGTAATACTGATACAAAATTACTTCTCAATCTTATTTAATGTCTTGCATATCGCATATGCCTAGAATACCTTTGAAAGGAAATACAAAACACTGGTGATGCTTGCTGCCTCCAGGGACTCATTCTGGGATGAGAGGAAAAATTTTAACCTTATTATACTCTTATGCATAAAATTTTAATTTTGTGACCCAAAATAGAGACAAAAACAATTTGATTAATAAGAAAACTATAAAATAATAGGGCCAATGGTGGGGAGAATATGGCAAAAACCATGACTATCTTAAGAGAATGAATAAAGCTACGGAAACCAACAAGAAAAAAATATTTTTTTAGGGGAAACTGGAGTTCGGTGTGACCTAGTGCTACCCACCCTGTCAGTGACATTAGAATCCTGTGCCTAGGGGGATTCATCCGCGCGTGCGCACAGCCTCAGGCCAGCCATTTCTGCGAATGCATACTCCATCCCCGACCGAGAGCACGCGAGAAACAGCCCGTACGCCTGCCGAGGACGCGCTCGCACGCCCCGCCCCGCCCCGCCCCGCCCCGGGCGGTCAGCGAATCCCGAGGCGCGCAGGCCTGGGCTGTCTAGGCTGCGGGAGGTGATGCCCTGGAAGGCGGGGAACCTGCAGGAGGCCAACGCGGCCGCAGAGCAGTAAGGTCCCGGAGAGTACGGCCGAGAGTAGGCGGGCGCGGAGGAGTCTGGCCCGGAAGAGTCCGATCAGGAGGCGGACGCCACAGAGGAGATGGAGGCTGGGAGGCCGCGGCCGGTGCTGCGCTCGGTGAACTCGCGCGAGCCGTCCCAGGTCATTTTCTGCAACCGCAGCCCGCGCGTCGTGCTTCCTGTGTGGCTCAACTTCGATGGCGAGCCGCAGCCCTATCCCACGCTGCCGCCGGGCACGGGCCGCCGCATCCACAGCTACCGAGGTAGGGTCGCTGCTCCCTTTGTCCCGCTGCTTGAGCGCCTGCCCGCCGGTTCTGAGCTGTGCCCGGCGCGGTAGGCCTGATAGCAATAGCAGCGGCGGCACGAACTCATCGAATCCCCTCCACCATCCGGGGAGGCAGGTGCTCTTGTGATTATTATTCCCACTTATGCATAAGGAACTGAGGCCCCAGAAAGATAGTGACAGACCCAAGTTGACGCTGCTAGTAAGTGGCGGAGCATTTTTCTTATAAAACAGTTTGCATTTGATGGTGACTTTTCCCCAACCCCCTTCCATGTATAGTTACCCCAGAAGCAGTGCTCCATCCCTAATGTCCATTGTTCAGTCCGTGAATGGAAGAATCTCACATTCTCCAATGTCCCCAGTGGGCCAGGTCCGGGTAGGCGCCCCGCCTTCATGGAGAACACAGTCCAGTGGGGAGACAGACGAATGCATAAACAGATGAGAACAAACCAAGGTCACAATTGCTGCGATTGGAACGGAGCACAGTGGTTGCTGGAGCTTGGAGCCAGCATCTGCTTAGTGAAGGGGGGGAGGGTGGGGAGGTAGGGGTGTGTGTGAATGTGTACACGCGTGGTTTCAACAAGGGAGAGCTTCCCAGAGAAGAAAGGGAGCCCTGCCGGATGAATGGGAGCTGACCAATCCAAGACAGCAACCGCAAGGGCTAAAGGAGGAGAGGGTATGGAATGGTGGTAGAGGAAGCCCTGAAGGTGATTTTACCCCTAGATAAATGGGGCCATTGTAGGTTTTCTAGCAGGGACAGGGCATTGCCAGATTTACATTGAGAAAAGCTCACTCAGGTTGCAAAGTGGTTTGATGGGGAAGGCTGCTGTTGAGGAACCAGTTAGGAAGCTGTTGTAATAACTCAAGAAGGGGAGAGGGGATAAGAAATTAGTTATCTTCCCTTGATTTTCAAGAAAAAAACATTTTTACAATCAGCTTAGGAGGAGCCTAATGGATTGCTTTTCCTTCAGGATACTCAATAATGTCTCTAAAACTTTTACACCGAACTTTCCTAATATTAAATGAGGAAGAACACAGTTCTTCCAGAGGTCAAAATTTGTATTCTCCTACTTTACCTAGAAAATTGTGTGAATTTTGTATTCGTCTTCAAAATTTATCTTTGCCTAATTTAATATAAATTTCTTTTTTAAAAAAGTTCTCACCCAAGGATATGTTTTTATTGATTGAGAAAGAGAGATAAACATCGATATGAAAGAGAAACATTGATTTGTTGCCTTCCATATATGCCCTGACTGGGAATCGAACCTGCAACCTTCCTCTCTCTGTAAGAAAAAAAAAATCAATAAAAACATATTCTTACCCAGCCAGTGTGGCTCAGTTGGTTGAGCATTGTCCCATGCACAGGAGGTCGCAGGTTTGATTCCAGTTCAGGGCACCTGCGGGGATTGCAGGCTTGATCCTCAGTAGTGGGTGTGCAGGAGGCATCTGATCGATGTTTCTATTTCTCTTTCCTTCTCCCTTCCTCTCTCTGAAATCGAGAGCGAAACATCGATCAGTTGCCCCCAGTACACACCCTGACCCAGGATCAAATCTGAAACCTGAGCATGTGCACTGACCGGGAATGACTTCCTGTGTATGGGACAATGCTCAACCATCTCAGCCACACTGGCCAGGGCCAATTTAAATTTATTTTTTAAATATGTTTTTATTGATTTTTTTTTTAGAGAGAAAGGAAAGGAGAGAGATAGAAACAACAATGTGAGAGAGAAATATCTATCAACTGCCTCCTGTATGTCCCCTACTGAGGATCAAGCCCACAACCTGGGCATGTGCTCTGACTAGGAATCTAACCAGGACCTCTCAGTCCATGGGACAGTGCTCAGTCCACTGAGCCACACCAGCTGGGCAACATTTCTTAAATTTTCTCATTAAATCTTCAAGTTAGTTTAGCCCGACTGGTGTGGCTCAGTGGTTGAGTGTGCACCTATGCACTAGGAGGTTGCTGGTTCGATTCCTGGTCAGGGCACATGACCAGGTTGTGGGCCTGATCCCCAGTGGTGGGCATGCAGGAGGTGGCCAATTGATGTTCTCTCTCATCGGTACTTCTATCTCTCTCTCCTTCTCCCTTCTTTGCTCTAAAATCAATAAAGAAAAATTTAAACAAAAAAATCTTCAAGTAAGTTTATACCCCAGGAACACATGCTATATTTATTCTGAGAGACACCTCCTCCCTCCTTAAACAGAATTAAGTCAGAGGGTTTGCCTCCTTTTCTCTCTCACACATGTGATTATTTGTTTCTTTAATTCAGGTATAATTTACATAGACTATAATGTACAGATCTTAGGGTTTGTTGTGTTTTGGCAAATGTAGCAACATCTAAATCAGGTATAGATTAGAACATTTCTGTCACCCCAGAAAGGACTCTCCTGCTCCTTTCACTCAGTCCCCTCGCTCCCAGAGGCAACCACTCTTCTGATTTTTTACATCATAGATTTATTTCATCTGTTCTTGCAAAATGTACCCTTTATGTCTGGCTTTCTTTTCTCAACATGAAGTTTTTGTATCTCTTATTTTTGAGTAGTACAGATTTGAGGAGTCACTGACCTCTCTTCTTTTAGTTTGCAGTGTTGATGTGATTTGCAGTTCATGTGCTTTGCTTTTCCTTTTTGGTAGAAGATGGAGTAGAATTTGGAGCCTTAAGTATATACTCTTCTATTTACTGGCCCTGTTGCCTTGAGCAAGTCACTTGGCTTTTTCAGACCTGTTTGCTATCTGTAAATGAATCTATTGTGAGAATTGAGTAAGCTAATATTATTGGATGGCCTTTGTATGATATTTAAGCAGAATGGCAAGTATTTCTTGTCAGTCTAGGGAGATAAAGGAAATAGGTGTGTGGCTACTTAACAGCCTCTGCTTGTATTAACAGGTCATCTTTGGCTCTTCCGAGATGCTGGGACATATGACGGGCTTCTGGTTAATCAAACTGAATTATTTGTGCCATCTCTCAATGTTGACGGACAGCCTATTTTTGCCAACATCACACTACCAGGTACTGATGTTCTATCTTACTTTTTATTTTATTTTTTATATATTTTTTTAATCCTCACCCGAGGACATTTTTGCATTTATCTTCAGATAGAGCTGGAGGGAGAGAGGGGGGGAAAGAGAGAGAGAGAAACATCGATGCGAGGGAGACACATTGAGTGGTTGCCACTCATACAACCCCAACCAGGGCCGGGGACAAACTGCAACCGAGGTACATGCCCTTTGCGGAAACCAAACCTGGGACTCTGGTCCGTGGGCTGCGGGCTGATGCTCTAACTGCTGAGCCAAACTGGCCAGGGCCCATCTCACTTTTTAAAAAGATAAGGTTGTTGTAATAAGTAGAGGAAAGGCCACTTGCTGGAGCCACGCCCTTAGTGATTTTTTGCCTGAGGCTCAGCAAGGTATTCAACCTTTCTGCCCTATTCTCCACCACAAGTAAAATGGAAGTAATGTATTCGTAGGCTCTGTACTGAGCAAAGGTGTTGTAGTATCTCAAAGTTCTCCCGGCTTGTCAGAGGTGGGCTAAACTAAAATGTCTGATTGTGGAATTATGAATGCATTTTGTTTCCCTGGCCTTAGAGTAGAATTATACCTTGGAGTCTCAGAAGAAGAACAAGGTATAGAGAATTAGATATCAGGGCTTGTTTAAAACATTTTTTTTCCTTTATTGATTTTTTAGAGAGAGAGGAAGTGAAAGGGAGAGAGAGACAGAAACATCGATGAGAGAGAACATCGACTGGCCACCTCCTGCACAGCCCCCACTGGGGATCGGGACCACAACCTGGGCATGTGTCCTGATGGAGAATCAAACCAGCGACCTCTTGGTGCATGGGTCGACGCTCAACCACGGAGCCACACCAGCTGGACATCATGGCTTGTTTCATATGACTTCTAGTATTGTATCTTTTAATGTTATTTAACCCGGTCAAGTTCACAACACCAGTCAGGGATTAAAAAAAAAAATCACTGATTTGAACAGTGGCATCACATACCATTTGTTTTATTTATTTATTTATTTTTTTTATCCTCACCCAAGGACATTTTTGCATTTATCTTCAGATAGAGCAGGAGGGAGAGAGGGGGGAAGAGAGAGAGAAACATCGACATGAGAGAAGCACATAGACTGGTTGCCACCCACACAACCCCAAACAGGGGGCTGGGGACAAACTGCAACTGATGTAGTACCCTTAGCGGGAACCGAACCAGGGCCTCTCTGGTCCGCAGGCTGATGCTCTAACCACTGAGCCAAACCAGACAGGGCACATCACACACCATTTGTTTTAAACCTTAAATGATTATTAGGTTGAGCTCTAAGAAACTAATGTTCTTGTGGAATTTTAAAAAACCGAGCCCTGGCCAGTTTTATCAGTGGTTAGAGCATCAGCTCGTGGACCATATGGTCACAGGTTTGATTCCTGGTCAAAGGCAGGTACGGGTGTTGCAGATTCTATCCCTGGCTGTAGTTGGGTTCATGCAGGAGGCAACCAGTTAATGTGTCTCTCTCACATCAATGTTTCTCTCTCCCTCTCCCACCCTCCCTTCCTCCTTTCCACTCTATCTGAAAATCAATGGAAAGATATCCTCAGGTGAGCACTAAAAACAACACACTAGATATTTGCAGCTTCATAAGGTTCAAACTAATAGGTGTATATAGATTCTGTTTTAAGGAAGTGGGTATACAAAAATGTTCATTGATAAGTTAAATGGAATAAATTTAGCTTTGTGGGGTTACCCTTAAAGAGTAAGTTCCCCAGTAAGTAAAGTTAGATTTCAGTTCCCCCAAAATCCAATTATCCACTGTTTTGGTTATCTATCGCTGTGTGACAACTACCCCAAAACTAACAACAACCATTTGATTTGTTCATAACTCTGCAGTCTGGGCTGAGCTCAGGTGGGTGGTCATTGGTGTGGCTGTCTTCTCCTGGCAGGTTGGCTGAGGGCTAGGCTTCTCTCCCAGGTAGTCTCTGTGCCTGTGCCTGTTCGTGTGGCCTCTCCTGCAGGGTAATTCAGGGCTTCTGAGAGGGTAAAAGTGGAAGTTGCTTAAGGCTTAGACCTAGAATTGCCACAGTTCACTTTACTCACAATCAGTTATTACAGCACATCACAGGCCCAGTCCACTTTCAAGGGGAAGTTACTACACAAGGTCTTCAATACCATGAGATATCGATCAGGGCCATTATGTTACATTCTGCCACAACACATGTACTCACTTTTTTTTTGCCCAAAGTGAGGTCCATCTGAGTAGATGTAATTGCCATAGTTGGTAAAACCTCTTGCTTATGCCTTGTCTCAAGGCCTGCGTGAATTTGCTGCTGAAGATTCGGTTTTCTGCCCTTACAGTGTATACCCTGAAAGAGCGATGCCTTCAGGTTGTTCGAAGCCTCGTCAGGCCTGAGAATTACAGGAGACTGGACATTGTGAGATCACTCTACGAAGATCTGGAAGACCACCCGAACGTGAGGAAAGACCTGGAGCGGCTGACACAGGAGCACATTGAAAATCAACAGATAGAAGAGGAGACTGGAGATTTTAATTGAAATTTGCATTCCTGAGTCTCAGCTTTTAATGGAACTGACTAGTCTTAATCTAGCTATAGGACTGGTCATTATTCTCAGTTTCAAGGTATCTCATTCTTAGAGTAAAAAAAATGCTCCATTGCTTAAAAGAAAGTTAACAGACTTCACTAGGTATTGTGATGTTTAGGGGCAAATATCACAAAATGTAATGCCTGCCCTCTCTAGAAGTGTTTATCGGAAAGTAGTTGCGTTTTTGCCTCTTAGTGAATCTGGAAAGTTTCTGTGTAAGAACCTTTGTGTAAGTAATTCAGTGAGAATTGCAACGTATTCTTTGATTGTAAGAAAGCAGTGGCATCTGCTTTTAATTATATCGTGGTTGGTGATGCGTCCGCCTCCCGCTTTGAGAAGACTGAGATGTCCTTGAGGCAGGGACGAATCTGTCTGCTCTTTAAGACCTCAGTGCCTCTCACATTATGAGCCTTCATCAGTGGTTGTTGAATGAATAAACCAGTGGATGCTTTGGTAGAAAGTGTTTGGAAAGTTTGCCCTTTTTTGCAGAGGGGAAACAAGGGACCTTGAAGTATGTATAGTAAATAAATGTTTTAAGGAATTCATTTTTATAGAAAGCACTTTTTATAATTTTCTAAATTTTGTGCTTTTCTCTGTTCACTGTTGTTACAAGTGCTGTTTTATTTTCTGTTTCTAAACCAAGATTAGGTTTTACAGTTACTGTGATGATAGCTCCTTTGAAACTTGACATCTGTGCAGAAGATAGGAGAAAACAGCTGTCCTCTTGCTTAACTCGAGTATTAAGGAGATACTGCCGTACTGTAAATAGGTTTCTGCCAAGTGTGGGTATTTCTGTTTCTTTTTGTAAATCCATGACATTTCTGTTTGGTTTAACATTTTTCATCAGGCAGGATCTGGTGACACTTTGCACCTGGCTGGAGGAGAGGCCCCTCTAAGCTCTGGGGAGTTACTGACTCACACAGTGGATTCAGAGAGTAGCCTGGAATGTTTCATAGTTTTATAAATGTACAAATACTTTCTTATAGGCCAGACTTAAATTCATTCAGTACCTCTGTCAGGCTTCCTTTTGCATAACAGTTTTAAAAAATTTGGTAGAGAAATTTTAGAAAAGACGGAAAAGTAAAAGGAAGAAAAAGATTACTGTAGATCCACTATGTAAACACACTCACTAACTTAACATTTTGAGTTTTCAACCCTCTTTAGAGCAACTTTTGGTTGGTTGGTTTTTACATAGTTGATGTTATACTATACATACAATTTTGTATTCTTTCTCATTTAACTTTATAACTTAAATATCTTCTCATGGCATCTTTAGTTCCTGTGCTAACCTTTGAGCAGAACTCCTGTGCTCTGCAGAGTGAAGTGAATGAATGAAGTAAACCCCACAGTTGTCTCACTATACCTTATGTTTCATCCAGTCTTGTTCCCCTCTTCGAACATTCAGCAAAATAGTTGGCTTTTTTTTTTTTTAAAGTATGTTGTAGTACTCATTCAGTGATACACCTCTAAATATCTAATTTTTTGTGTAGGGAAGAAGAAATGCTGGTACAGAAAGTAGCCATGTGAGTTCCAGAGTCAGAGAGGATGGGGATTTAAGGAAGTCTGCCGGTGCTGGATTTGTTTAATGTTGGTTTTTATTTTATTTTTAACCTGTCTTTGTGTCAAAATGAGATTTCATGTTCCTCTTGTTAAAACATGCAATTTGAGTACTGTATTTTTTGTGTTGTCCAAGGAAGTTGAAAACCTGTAGCATGAATAATATGTTTTTCGTTTGAAGTCTTATGAATGTATTAAGAGACTGTGCTGTTTCCTATTTTGAATTTAAAAAGACTGTTCTTTAATACATTAAATGGTGCTGAGTAAAGGAAATAGGGAGGGTGTGTCGTGGTGTTATTTTAACCAGACTTTTCTCCCCTGGAGAGTTGTAAAAGTCATGTTTATTTAAAGGCTTAAGGTGGGGGTGAGTAGCAGACACAAGCGCCTGACTTCTTCTCAGTTCCTTCTCTTTCCAGCACTGGATTTTTTTAAGACCATTGTTTCTTTTAACTTTATTTTTCTCGTAAATATGATACATCACTGTAAAAAAAAATTTAAGCACTACAGAAAAGTACTAAGAAAAAGATTTACATTGGAACAAAGTTGTTTTATTTTTATTTTTCCATGAAAACAGAACCAATCTTTACAGACACGTCACTGAAGAAGATGCACAGCCCTGGCCGGGTAGCTCAGTTAGAGCATCGTTCTATCCCCAGTCAGGTGACATACGAGAATCAACCCGTGAATGCATAAATGAGTGGATCAACGAGTCCATGTTTCTTTCTCCCCTTCTCTAAAATCAACTAAAAAAGAAAAAGAAGATGTACAGATGGCAACTAAGCATGTGAAAAGATGCTTCGCATCATATGTCATCAGGGAAATGAAAATGAAAACAATGAGACACCACAAGGCCCCATTAGAATGGCCAAAACCTGTAACAGCCGTAAGCACTAAAGGATAGAAGTGTGGGACTTCCCTCTCCCAGACAGAAGGAGAACTGGGATTTTCCTTACACAAGACAAGGGTGGGTTTGTTTGTTGGTTTATTTGTTTTTTTAATTCACTTTATCTTTTTTTGGATCATGTACTGTCAGAAAAATCAATAAAGATATTTTTATTAGAAAATAAAAAATACGTACGGTCCATAGAAAAGCTTTATTATTATTTCCTTTTCATCAGTCTTTCTTCATGCCCCAACTTCCTGATAGAACACTTTCTCAGTTCTGCCTATACACAATTAGAATTACCTAAAAGTTCTTTAAAATTCCAGTGCCTGAGCCCCACCCCAGAACAACTGAATCTGGATCTCTGGAGGAAGGGCTGAACATGTATAATTTTTTAAATTTTGCCAGATAGGCCCTGGCCAGGTAGCTCAGTTGGTTAAAGCATCCACTCAATATGCCATGGTTGCAGGTTCAATCCCCAGTTGGCATATGTAAGAATCAACCAATAAATGCATAAATAAGTGGAACAACAAATTGATGTTTCTCTCTCTTTCCCCTTTCCTCTTGCTCTCTTTCTAAAAGTCAGTCAGTAGCACGGCCGGTGTGGCTCAGTGGTTGAGCGTTGATCCATGCACCAGAGGTCGCTGGTTCGATTCCCTGTCAGGGCACATGCCCAGATTGTGGGCCAAATCCCCAGTGCGGGGCATGCAGGAGGCGGCCAATCGATGTTCTCTCTCATCGATGTTTCTATCTCTCCCTTTCCATTCCTCTCTCCAAAAATTGATAAAGAAAAAAAAAATTTTTTTTTTCCAATTTTTGTTCAGATAGAGTTGGAGGGAGAGAAAGAGAAACATTGACATGAAAGGGACACATCTTGTGGTTGCCACCCGCACAACCCAGCCAGGGCCAGGGACAAACTGCAACTGAGGTACGTGCCCTTAGCGGAAACGGAACCCGGGTCTCTCTAGACTGTGGGCCGATGCTCTAACTGCTGAGCCAAACCGGCCAGGGCAGAAAAAAAATTTTTTTAATAAAAAAAAAAATCAGTAAATAAAACATTAAAATTTCCCCAGATAATTCTAATGTGCAGCTGAGATTGCAAATCACTGATTGTCATTTCATGGAAATTAAATGTGAACAAGTCAAAATGACATAACTGTGTAACTCATTGCATTCAATCTCAATAACAATTTCTAACTGGTAGGGAGGGTGTTGGTCCCGGAAATAGCTAATGAGGGGACGAAAGGAACTGTGCAGAATTGTAGGAAATTTTTCACAGTGAGGCAATATAACAGAGCCAAAAGAGTACTTCCTTTGGTGTCAGACTTGGGTTGAATCTTGTCACTTGGCCAATTTTGCTTAACCAAGTTACAATTGACTTGAGGCTCAGTTTCCTCATCTGTAAAATGGAAATGATAAATCTACTTTGTAGGGTAGTTGTGAGGATCCTAGATGATGTATGCTAAGTGCCTGGTACTTGGTAGGTGAGTGGCAACTCAATAATAGCAAAAACCTTACTTTGAAGAACTAATTCTAAAGGCTGGGGACTAAGATGTACCCCTAAGATGGCCTGCTCAGGCCATGAACTACTCAAGCCTCTCTGGAGGAGAAAATCCTAGAACTCAGATTCCAAGCCCTGAGGATGGGGCGAGAAGGAAACTTGCCAGAAGCCCAAGGATATAGCAGAGAGAGAAGCTGCTGGGGCTTCTCTGTCCCGGACAGGCTAAGGCTGAATGTGAACCTTCTGTGGTCTTAAAGCCTCATCAAGCAGAAGAGGCCCCATGGCACTAAGGTAGAGGCCAAAGACACATGCTCTGTGCTTGCAGAAGAGAAGGAGAAGCAGGTGGAGGACTCTGCAAACAGAGAAAAGGAGGGAAGGAAGAGGGCCCTTATTCTCCTTTGCTCTGGGATGTAGGTGATTTCCCACGGAGTCATGGTCAGACCATCACTGGAGCTTCTCCATCTAAAATTCCACCTTCAACCACTGCTGAAACATGGGACTTCCCCTGAAAAGCAGTCTCAGAACTTCAAGGAGGTGGATTCACATAAAAGCAGTCCTTTACTGGGCTCAGTACTTGACAGTTTGTTCTGAGCATTGTGGGGTTCATTTAAGCTTCATAGCAATCCTTCAAAGTGGTTGAATCAGGATACATGATTTATAAAAAGTTCAATACAGCCCAGGCTGGTTTTGCTCAGTGGTTAGAGCGTCAGTCCGCGGACCAGGGAGTCCTGGGTTTGGTTCCCGCTAAGAGCACGTACCTTGGTTGTAGTTTGTCCTTGGTCCTGGTTGGGGTCGTGTGGGTGACAATCAGTTGATGTGTCTCTCTTACATCGATGTTTCTCCCCACACCCCTCTCCTCCTCTATCTGAAGAAAAATGCAAATATGTCCTTGGGGCCCTGGCTGGTTTTGCTCAGCGGTTAGAGCACCGGCCCACCGACCAGAGTCCTGGGATCGGTTCCCGCTAGGGGTACATACCTCATTTGCAGTTTGTCCCCGGCCTGGTTGGGGTCATGTGGGTGGCGGCCTGTCGATGTTTCTCTCTCTCTCTTCCCCCCTCTCTCCCTCCCGCTCTATCTGAAGATAAATGTGAAAGTGTCCTCGGGTGAGGATTACAAAAAAAAGGTTAATACAAATTTTATCTTGATCAAGAATAAAGAACCAGACAGATAAAGAGCTGAACTTGGACATATATCCTGTTAGGATTCTTAGGCTGGTGGGTGCTTTTTTCTTTTTTTATTATTCTTTTTTAAAGTCGGCCTCCTTTTATTTCACTATTTTTAAGTTGATTTTAGAGAGGAAGGAAGAGAGAAAGACCTGGCAGGTGTGGCTCAGTTGGTTGGAGCGTTATCCTGTGCACCAGAAGCTCACGTGTTCTATTCCAGGTCAGGGTACATGCCTGGGTTTCAGGTTCAATTCCCAGTTGGGGTGTGTACAGGCGGCAACTGATCCATGTGCTCCTTTTTTTTTTTTAATATGTTTTTATTGATTTTTTTTAGAGAGAGAGGAACGTCGATGTGAGAAAGAAACATCTATTGGCTGCCTGCTGCTCATCCCCCACTGGAGATCGGGCTCCCTTCCTCTCTCTCTAAAAAATCAGTAAAAACATATGTTATTTTATTTTTTAAATATGGAATGCTTCACGAATTTGCCTGTTACCCTTGTTCAGGGGCCATGCTAATCTTCTCTGTATCATTCCAATTTTAGTACATGTGCTGCCGAAGCAAGCACAATAAAAACATATTTTAAAAGAGTTTGCTGTCCTTTACTCAGGGAAGGCTATGTATCGAGTACAGTGCCTCAAGCAGTGGAGCACTCTTCCCCATGTACTTTTCAGTATTATCAATGCAGCTAGCTTTTTTTTCTTTAAAAAATTTTTTTTCTTTCTTTATTTTTAGAGAAAAAGGAAGTGAAGAGGGAGAGAGAGATAGAAACATCAATGAGAGAGAACATCAATTGGCTGCCTCCCGCATGCCCCCAACTGGTGTTGGGTCCACAACCTGGGCATGTGCCCTGACCAGGAATCAAACCGGTGACCTCTTGGTGCATGGGTCGACGCTCAACCACTGGGCCACACTGGTCGGGTGCAGCTAGCATTTTTAAAAAAGGATTTTTTATTGATTTTTAAAGAGGAGGGAAGGGAGAGAGAAACATTTGATGTGAGAGTGAAACATTGATTGACTGCTTCTTGCACACCCCCAGCTGGGGATAGAGCCTGAAACTCAGGCATGTGCCCTGATCGGGAATTGAACCACAACCTTTCAGTGCATAGTACAACACCCAATCAACTGAGTCACACCAGTCAAGGTGCAGCTACCATATTTTAAGTACATTCTCTGTGCAAGGAAGACCCTGGAGTAGGTGTTCTATATGGACTGTCTAAATTGATTTAATCCATTTCCCTGGCTCACAACTCTAAGATGTAGGGATGATTAGCCTCATTTTACAGATGTGTCAAAGAAGGCTTGAAAAGTTAAATGAGTTGTCCAGGGTCACAAAGCCTGTTGGTGGCAGAACTGGAACTTGGCCTCAGGACTTAGCACTTTCCTTGCAGGTTCCTTCTTTGGCAGCCATGCTCCATAGCTGATGTTTACAGGTGCAAAGTGGCACTCTCGTTGTTTATCTGCCCTCGATGATGTTGCCTCACCTCTTGGAACCTATTTACTTCTGTGTAAAAATGGAATAATAATATCTATAGCATAGGCTTATGAGAATTACATAAAATGATTTATTTAATGGTAGTTATTATAATAAAGAGACAGTTTGTAGCCAGTGATCAGACTGCTAGGGTTCAAATCTCAGCTCTGCCACTGTATGAGTTTAGGTTAGTTATTTAATCTTTCTGTGCCTCAGTTTCCTCATCTATAGAATGGGGGTAATAACTACACCTACCTCATGGAGTCATTGTGAGCAATAAGTGAAATAACCCAGGTGAAGTCTGTTCAATAAATTCTAGCCCTGGCCGGTTTGGCTCAGCGGTTAGAGCGTCGGCCTGCGGTCCGGAGAGACCCGGGTTCGGTTCCCACTAAGGGCATGTACCTCGGTTGCAGTTTGTCCCCGGCCCTGGTTGGTCGTGCGGGTGGCAGCCACTCGATGTGTCCCTTTCACATCGATGTTTCTCTCTCTCTCTCCCTCCTGCTCTATCTGAACAAAGAATGAAAAAGTGTCCTCGGGTGAGGATTAAAAAAAAAATAATAATAAATTCTAGCCATTATAAGTTCTCATCCTATCCTATTTAATAATTCAATTAGCCTCACAGTCCCTCTTACCATATTCCTCCAATAATATTGATCACATTTAAAGATAATGAGCCCTGGCCGGTTTGGCTCAGCGGTTAGAGCGTTGGCCTGCGGTCTGGAGAGACCTGGGTTCGGTTCCCGCTAAGGGCACGTACTTTGGTTGCAGTTTGTCCCCGGCCCTGGTCGGTCGTGTGGGTGGCAGCCACTCGATGTGTCCCTTTCACGTCGATATTTCTCTCTCTCTCTCTCCCACTGTATCTGTACAAAAATTGCAAAAATGTCCTCGGGTGAGGATAAAAAAATAATAATAAAAATAAAAAAATAATAAAGATAATGAATATGCCGTAACCCCCACCCCCATCACTTTCAGCATGCTCTACTTTTGCTCTCTAACATTACCTATCAACTATAATGCTGTTATTTATTTATTTTGCATTTCTACTGTTTACTGTCTGTCTCCCTCCCTGCCAGGGATTTTGTTCAGAGGTACCCCTAGCACCTAGAACAGTGCCTAGTACAGAGTAAACGGCTCAATAAAAATTAGCCATTATTGTGATAAAGTCTAACTTGACTTGTCCTCCCTCTGATAGCTCTGAATTCCTAATTCCCTTTAGTCAACTTTTCTTTTTCTTTTTGGCAATAGCACTTATTACCTTTTAACATATTATATAACTTACTCATTCAGTATTTTTATTAGTTATTGCTGTTTCCTCTCCACCACCCCTATCTAGAGTGTACGTCCCATGAAAGCAAGGACTTGATAGGTTTTCTCTACTAATGTGTCTCCAACACCCAGAACAGTGCCTGCCGTGTAGTAGGTAATTAATAGAATATTTGCTGAATGAATTATATGTGGGGCAGCACCAAAGCAGTGGAAGTGGCCTCCTAGGACTGCCACGGAATTCCCCGCTGGCCGACGGTTTCCTCTCCACTCCGGACCTCAAGTTGCCTCTCCCAGCTCCTTCCTTTTGGTCTCACAGCCGCTCAGGTCCAGCCGGCCGGACGGCGTCGCGCCCGGTCGCCACTGAGGGGCAGTGGTGTCCAGCGCTGGCCCCGCCCACGTCCGGGGAGGCGGGGCGGTGGGAGGGGCCAGGCCCGGGTAGAGAAGCCGAGTCCCGCGGCGTCGGGCTCAGTCTCCCGGTAGTCTCCGCTGGGCTCGCCGCCCCGCCATGTCCTGCTACATCTACCAGCTGCCCGCCTGGGTGTTGGATGACTTGTGCCGCAACATGGACACGCTCAGCGACTGGGACTGGATGCACTTCGGTGAGTGGGCCCCCCGAGCGACCGCGCCCGGCGTCGGTCTCCAAGCCCCCTCCTAGCCTCTGTTTAAAAGTGGGTACTGATCCGGGGGGCTCTGCGTGCTGCCCTCTGGACCCGGCTCTCGCTGTGTGCCCGCAGGCAGGCCACTGCCCCCTCTGTGGACTCTAGTGCGATCATCTGGAAGGCGTTTTGTGATCTTTGAAGATTTCTGCTGTCACTCAGTTCGTTGCTAAGTAATAACCAGTTTGTGCTGTTTATAGTCAAGCTTGTAACAATTGCTGTGAGCAGTTACAATAAATTACCAGTGTGCTGGGCCCTAATGTGAGCACTTGACAGGGATTTTCTCGTTTAGTCCTACATACCATAAAGTGCATATTTCTCTTACCCCATTTTAAAGAGGAGGAAACGGATTTAGAGAGGTAGAGTTACTCGCTAAGTGGCAGAATGGTATTTGAACCCAGCGTCTAGTCCCCCACCAGGACACTGTAACTCCTTAGTGTTTTGTTTGTTTGAGCCTGATGATTGGCTGACAGCGCTTGATATCCAGGGGGAGGGAGGCTGTGCCTGTGGTCCTCATTCCAGGTCCACTACCTCCCAGCTGGTGATTCTGAGTGAGTTGCTTAACCTCTCTGAGCATCAGCTTCCTAATCTATAAACTGGAGGTTGTTGTGAGGAATGAGAAAACGTTTAAAAATTGATTTTAAAAGGAGGGAGGGAGGGAGGGGGGGAGAGAGAGAGAGAGAGAGAGAGAGAGACATCAATTTGTTGTTCCACTTATTTATGCATTCATTGGTTGTTTCTTTTTTCTTTATCCTCACTGGAGGAAATTTTTCCATTTTTTGTTCAGATAGAGTGGGAGGGAGAGAGAGGAAGAGAGAGAGAGAGAGAGAGAGAAACATCGACATGAAAGGGACACATTGAGTGGTTGCTACCTGCATGACCAACCAGGGCTGGGGACAAACTGCAACCGAGATACGTGTCCTTAGTGGGAACCGTGGCCTGGTCTCTCTGGACCGCAGGCCGACGCTCTAACCGCTGAGCCAAAATGGCCAGGGCGGTTGTTTCTTTTTTTAAAACATGTTTTCTTTATTGATTTTAGAGAAAGAGGAAGGGAGAGAGAGATAGAAATATCGATGAGAGAGACCATCAACTGGCTGCCTCCTGCATGCCCCGCTCTGGGGACCGGGCTCATAACCTGGGCATGTGCCCTGACCAAGAATCCAACCAGCGACCTCTTGGTGCATGGGTTCCACGCTCATCCACTGAGCCACACCAGCCAGGCACAGTAACTAACACTTATTGGCTTCTTACATTACCATGTACCACCAGAGTGCTAGGTGTTTTATGCCTTCTAGCCTGTTTTCTAAACATATTTATGTGTATACATTTTTCAAAAATTACATCATTTTGAATATTGTAATAGCCTACTTTTTCACTTAAAATATATCATAATTATTTCTGCTTGCCAAACAATATTCTTTAGCAAGTTGGATTTATTTTCAATGTGTATTTTTATTAACTATTTTTAATGGATAAAAGTAACAAATGCACTAGGTTAAATGATGTAAATAATACACTTGTGATAGAGGAAGGTAAATATTTTTCCCTTTCCTGGTCCTCAGCCTCCCTGTTCCTCTCCCTAGAGACAGTCAGTGGTAACTTGTTTGGGCAACTCTGAGAATGTCTGTCGCTGCCTAATTTTCTTTAAAATAAAAAAAAATTTTTTTACGCCCTGGCCGGTTTGGCTCAGCGATTAGAGCGTCGGCCTGCGGTCCAGAGAGACCCGGGTTCGGTTCCCGCTAAAGGCGCGTACCTCGGTTGCAGTTTGTCCCCGGCCCTGGTTGTGTTGTGCGGGTGGCAACCGCTTGATGTGTTCCTTTCACGTTGATGTCTCTCCCGCCCCCCGCCCCACTCTACCTGAACAAAAAAATGGAAAAATGTCCTCGGGTGAGGATAAAAATCCTCGGGTGAGGATAAAAATAAAAAATAAAAAAAATAAAAATTTTTATTGATATTAGAGAGAGAGAGTGAGAGAGAAATAGAAACATCAATGAGAGAGAACATCAACTGGCCGCTTCCTGCATGCCCCCCACTGGGGATCGGACCCACAACCTGGACATGTGACCTGATCAGGAATTGAACCAGCAACCTCTTAGTACATGGGTCTATGCTCAGCCACTGAGCCACACCGGCTGGGATGTTGTTGCCTGTTTTTCTAGACTGCACTGTGTTGCTTTGCTTGGATAATCTGTGATTTAACTGCTTTAAATGTTCCTGGGCAGTGGACAAACTTTGTATGAGAGACTCCCTCTAGATTTTTCCATGTTGGTCTCAGTTGTGAATGCCAGAACAACTTCTGCTTCCAGGAAATTAATTTAGAAGGCACACTTATGAGTTTGTTTTTTAAACCTCACCCAAGGGTATTTCTCTATTTATCTTCAGGTAGAGTGGAAGGGAGAGAGAGGGAGAGAGAGAGAAACATTAGTGTGGGAGGGATACAAGCAGGGCCAGGGACGAACCGCAAGCGAAGTACGTGCCCTTGACCGAATCGAACCTGAGACTCATTGGTCTGTGGGGCAATGCTCTAACTGCTGAGCCAAACCAGTCAGGGCTATGAGTTTTTTAAAAAACAGCTTTATTGAGGTATAATTCAGATACCATACAATGATGTACAGTGTGGTGCTTACTTCAGCTGCATGGATACTAAAATTGGAACACAACTGAGAAGATTAGCATGGCCCTTCCACAAAAATGACACCCAAACTCATGAAGCGTTCAGTATTAAAAAATAAATAGTGTACAGTTCATCTTTAATTTCTCCTGGACAATACTGTAAATATAAAACCTAAAGATGAGCCCGGCTGGTGTGGCTCAGTGGTTGAGCATCGACTCATGCACCGAGAGGTTGCTGGTTTGATTCCCGGTCAGGGCACATGCCCAGGTTGTGGGCCCGATCCCCAGTGAGGGCATGCAGGAGGCAGCCATTCGATGTTCTCTCTCTTCAATGTTTCTTTCTCTCTCCTTTCCTTTCTCTAAAATCAATCAATAAATAAACAATTAAAAAACAAAACAAAAAACCTAAAGATGAGTTTGGATGGTTTCATGAGTATAAGTTCTGCTAATTCTGTATTAGTCTTCTTCAAATGTCACCTATCAGGCATAGCTCTGAAATGCTGATAATGTAAAGAAGAGGTATTTGGATTTCTGAATATTCATAATTGTGTTACCCTAGGATGGGAGTTCTGAAGTTTAAATTCTAGCTCTAGGTTTTAGAATAAAATCCCTTCAACACTTGACCGAAGTGCCAAAAAATGTTTCCAAAAAATGAGAGTTGTAAGTTATATCAAAAATGTCTTAGGCCCTGGCCGGTTTGGCTCAGCGGTTAGAGCGTCGACCTGCGGTCCAGAGAGACCTGGGTTCGGTTCCCGCTAAGGGCATGTACCTTGGTTGCAGTTTGTCCCCGGCCCTGGTTGGTCGTGCGGGTGGCAGCCACTCGATGTGTCCCTTTCACATCGATGTTTCTCTCTCTTTCTCTCTCTCTCTCTCTCTCCCTCTCTCTCCCTCTCACTCTATCTGTGCAAAAAATGGAAAAAAAATGTCCTCGGGTGAGGATTAAAAAAAAAAAAAAAAAAAGAAAATGTCTTAGACTAGGTTAAGGTTCTAAGTAAAATAAGAATTCAGTACAAAAGTATTTACTGTTGCCCGGCTGGTGTGGCTCAGTGGTTGAGCATCAACCCATGCACCAAGAGGTCACCGGTTTGATTCCCAGTCAGCACATGCCCAGGTTGTGGGTCTAATCCCCAGTGGGGGACCTGCAGGAGGCACTGAATGTGTATCTCTCACATGGATGTGTGTGTGTCTCTCTCTTGTTACTTGCTTACTTGTTACTTGTTTTTGCTAGAAATGTTAATGTAATAAATATCAATGTGGGAGAGGATAGTAAAAACAAAGTGTATAGTTTGGTGGCATTTAGTATATGGAGAGTTGTACATCCCTCTCCACAATCAATCTTAGAACATTTTAATTACCCCCAATAGAAACCCTGTCCCCTTCCCCTTAACCATCACCCCCCCCCCCACACACACACACACACCCCTCTCATTTCCCCCTGCTTTAGGCATTGTCTAATCTGGACATTTTATATCAATGTAATAATAAATTATGTGGTTCTTCATGACTGATTTCTTTCATTTAGCATGTTTTCAAGGTGTATCATGTTGTATCATGATTAGTGCTTAATTTCTTTTCTTTCCCCCCTTTATTGATTTCAGAGAGAGGATGGGAGAGGGAGAGAGAGAGAGAGAAACATCAATGAGAGAGAACATCAATTGGCCGCCTCCTGCATACCCCCCTGGGGATTTGGTCCACAACCTGGGTATGTACCCTGACCAGGAGTTGAACTGGTGACCTCTTGGTGCAAGGGTTGACACTCAACCACTGAGCCACACTGGTTGGGCATCTTTTTATTACTGAATAATATTCCATGGTATGGATATACTGCATTCTATTTATCCAGTTATCAGTTGATGGACATTTGGTTCTTTCCACTTTTTGGCTATTGTGAATAATGCGTCTGTGCACATTCATGTGCAAGTTTTTGTGTGGACATATGTTTTCATTCCCTTGGGTAGATATCTTGGGAGTGAAATTACTGAGTCATAGGGTTACTCTGTGTTTAACATTTTGAGGAACTACTAGACTGTTTTCCAAAGTGACTGCACCATTTTACATTCCCACGAGGGGTGTTATGAGGGTTAGTTTCTCCACATCTTCACCAACACTTGTCATTGTCTGTCTTTTGATTCTAGCCATCTGAGCAAGTGTGATGTGGTAGCTCATTGTGGTTTTGATTTGTATTTCCCTAATGACTGAATATGTTGAGCATCTTTCATGTGCATATTGGCCCTTTGCATATCCTTTTTGGGGAATACCTCTAACTTTTTAGGCCCTAGAGACACCAGAATTGCTCAAAGTCCTAAGAGACTTCTCATTGTGGTTTAGGATATAATCTAACTTCACCAGGCCTGCCCAATCTGACACAATGTGACCCCACTGATTCTGACCTCCTTCCCTCTCACACCCTCTTGTTCACCCTGCTTCAGCCACATTGGCCTCCTTGATCCAGACTCAGGCCTTTGCACTTGCTGTTTCCTTAGCCTGGGACATTCTTCCACCTTTGTTCCCCATGGCTGGCTTTCTAGTCTGTATTAGTTTTCTCTTGTTGCTTTAATAAATTACCATACATTTAATGGCTTAATAAGCACAGATACATTATGTTACAATTCTGGAGGTCAGAAGTCCTAAAACCAAGAGGGTGGCAGGGCTGCAATCCTTCTGGAGGCTTTGGGGAAGAATCCCTTTCCTCGCCTTTACTAACTTCCGGAGGCTGCCTGCATCTGTCTCATGGCTGGTGGCCCCTTCCTTCAAAGCCAACAGCATAGCATTGTCAGATCTCTCTCTGACCTCACTTCTGTCATCATATCCCTGAATCTGACACTCCTGCTTTCCTCTGAGAAGGACCATTGTATCTGTATAATTTGTTAGCCAATGTCACCCTGAAATATTCAATAAAAATGGGGGGCCCACTCAGATAATCCAGGATAATCTCATTTAAAAACCTCTGCTCGGTTGGTTGAGCATCAACCTATGCACCGAAGGGTTGCTGGTTCTATTCCCAGTCAGGAGGGCACATATCTGGGTTGTGGGTTTGATCCCTAGTCAGGAGCTTACAGAAGGCAACCAATCGATGTTTTTCATATCGATGTCTCTCTCTGTTTCAGGAGGATTTAAACAAACAAAAATACCCAAAAACCTTAACTTAATCTCATTTGCATATTCCTTTTTGTCATGTAAGATGCCATATTCACAGGTTTTGGGGTTTGGGACACTGACACCTTTGGAGGGGCCATAGTCCTTGAGGTCTCAGTTCATATATCACCTTGTTCAAGAGGCCTACCCTGCCCTATTATTCTCTATCCCACCACCATGTTTTTTTTTTTTTTTTAATCCTCATCTGAGGACATTTTTCCATTTTTTGTACAGACAGAGTGGGAGGGAGAGAGAGGAAGAGAGAGACAGGGAAACATCGATGTGAAAGGGACACATCGAGTGGCTGCCACCCGCACGACCAACCAGGGCCGGGGACAAACTGCAACCGTGGTACATGCCCTTAGCGGGAACCAAACCCGGGCCTCTCCGGACCACAGGCGGACGCTCTAACCGCTGAGCCAAACCGGCCAGGGCGTTTTTTTTTTTATTTTTTTTATTCCACTTAAAAGCTTTGACATTACCTTGTTCCTTATTTGGTTATGTCTACCTCTTCCCAGAAAATGTAAGGTCTGTGAAGGCAGGGGCCTCACCCATCCAATTCACTCCTATATTCCCAGAGCCTGGATAGTACCTGGCCGAGGGCAGATATCAGTGACCACTTGAATGTATGATGAGCTGAAGGATGTACGAATGGTGAGGGCATGGGGTGTGTCCACTTCTTACCCTACAACGATGGCTTCGAGCCCACAGTCAGCCAGCAATCCGTGTTGGATCGGGGGTCGCTGGACTGGGGGCCAGTTGTGCCCCCAGTTAGGTGATCCTTGCCAAGTTGCCACATTCTCTGATTTCCTCTTTAGCAGAACCAGTGATTGTGATTGTCCTTCCAGTTCTAAAGAGTCTTGGCTTTTGCAAATCATTTTTTTATTTTAATTAGAAATTTTTTTTTAAAGAATTTTTATTGATTTTTAGAGAGAGTGGGAGAGGGATAGAGAGAGAAAGAATGATGTGAGAGAGGTAAACATTGATCGGCTGCTTCCTGCACACCCCCTACCAGGGATTGACCCTGCAAACCAGGCCTGTGCCCTGACCCAGAATCGAAATGGCAGTGTTTTGTTGCATGGGATGATGTTCCAACCAACTGAGCCACACCTGCCAGAACTTATTTATTTATTTATTTTTAATCCTCACCTGAGGATATGTTTTTATTGATTTTGGAGGGAAAGGAAGGGAGAGAGAGGGAGAGAGATACATGGATCAGTTGCCTCCTGCATACATCCCTACCGGGAATCGAACTCGAAAACTTTTGGTGCATGGGATGATGCTCCAATCAAGTGAGCCACCCGGCCAAGGCTGCAAACCATTTTAGAAAAGATGGTCTCTTAGGGCTGATTATGGTTCTGTGGGGCAGAAGTAGGAAGATCCTTAAAGTAATAAAACCACACAGCCACAATATGCATGTTTTTTTGGACTTGATAGTTCTTGGCAGATAACATGGCTGCCTCCTGTCCATATCCCTATTATTGCAGCTGCATCCATTTTTGCCCTTGGGGGAAAACAGTCTTCTTAAAACTTCACCTTTAAAAAATATATATAGATTATTCTTTTGTTTGTTTGTTTTAATCCTCACCTGAGAACATGCGTAGAGAAAGGAGAGAGAGAGGGAGAGAGAAACATTGATGTGAGAGAGAAACATCAATTGGTTGCCTTCTGTGTGTGCCCTGACCAGAGATTGAACCCACAACCTGGGCATGTAGATGGTTTAACAATTACAGCTAACGTTCATGTCATTTATCGTGTACCAACCACTATTCCAAGTCCTTCTCTGCTTCTAACTGGTCTAATCCTCTCAATAACCTCTGAGGCAGGTGCTGTTGTTATCCTCATTGGCAGATGAGGAAACTGAGGCACAGGGAGTGAAGGGCCTTCCCCAAGCACACAGCAAGTAAGTAGCAGAGATAGGATTTGAACCCAGGCCTCCAAATCCAAAGCCTGGGCCTAGACTATCATGTATTGTCCT